TTTTGCTCTAAAAGTAAATATTTTCAGATAACTTGTTTGGTGGTTTTTAAAAAATCTCAAAATGGTCTTTTTTCCTAAGAACTTATATAACTTCCTCAATGGAAAACTGATAATGATATGAAAAGAGCAGTCTGAACATGAAAAAATTTCGTCTTATACCACCAGTATTTTTTTATCGAGATGTTTGAATAAGATCTCTAAAGATTGCAGACATCACGTAAAATGGGGGAAATAATTAGATTGCGGAACATGTTTTTCGAATGTTGTCAGTTATTCCCCCTCTCGTAACTGTGTGGTACCTGCATGATTCAAATTAAAAAATTAAATTTGAATCATTTTTTCATTGAAGTTGCAGCAAAACATATCCTTCACAAATTCAGCCAATCACAATCACATCACTAAAATTCCTCCAATTGGATCCGACAGTTGACATTTTTTATGAAACAAGAAAAGTAAGATCAGCACTCAAAAAATGTTAAGGTAAAATTATCTTAAATTATTTAAGGTAAATTAAAATTAAGGTAAAATTTATCTTCAACTTTTTACGGGAAAGTGCAAAATTGCGACTGAAACATATTCGCAATGATTAATCCATTCTAAGTCGAACACAAAATGGAAACCTAACTGTCATCAGTCGATAAATTTATAACATAGGTCGAGCAGAGTCAAAAAACATGTCAAGAAATGCTTTACTTTATATATAATAAAGTATAAATCATAATCATACTAATAGTAGGGTGATAAACTGCTCCGTCAAAAAATTAGTTTCATCATTAATCAATTTTTGAGAGATTTACCTGAAACAAAAAACAATTTTCAGAAAAAACTTGGAATTTCTGAGCTTTAAGGGATCCTGTGCAAGAGAACATGAGTCAGAGTGAAAATTCAACAAGTGTATTTTTCAAGGCCAAAATTTTAAGGATTTTAAAAAACATTCAGTTATCAACCAGAATTGTACTTTCCATTGTTGATTTATTGCCGGAACATCGCTAATTCGTCGCTTAAAAAAATCTCTCTTAGTTTCTTCTATCTTCTGGCTAGATTGCCATTTAGAAATTACGTTTAATCTATGTAACAATACTGAATCGTTTGTAAGAACTGTTCAAAAAGTGATTTGGAATGATTCACTAATGATTATCTGTGTATTTTTAACCGGTGCTGCTATTGGTTACTTTTGCAAACGAGCCCCTACCCCTATAACCGAAGCCTAAATGGCTGAAAGTCATGATAAGCAAAATTGAAAATCAGCAGTTAAAAACTAGAAGCATAAGCGTAAGACTATAGTGACAACTAAAATGGGAAATTTCGGCAGCAAAAACTGAACAAAAGTTCTGAAACTTTTTGTTTTCTGAAACTTTTTTGGAATAAAACTAAATTTCACGACTTGCAATGAATTAATGTGAATTTTGTGTTTTTTTTTCTGGGCAACCTAAATTTTGGAAAAAAAACAAACACACAATAGTAGTTCAAAAAAGTTAATATATCGAAAATGGCAGTTGTTAAATTAAGTGCATCGAGTTGCTTTTGTTTGGGATGATGTTTTTCTTTCAGACCATTTGCGGCGACGAAATAAATGAGTTTAAAAAAAAACAGTTTTTCTACAGTTATGAGGCTATGGAATTTTTCTCAGCTCAAAGTCAAAATTTCTTGTGCTAGTGATATTATCCCCGGGTTGACCTCCATAAACCGAAAATGCTTATCTTACATTTCCCCGCACCGAAAATGCTTATCATACAATTGCCTATACATCAAATGTATGGAAAAATGCCAATCATACAATTTCAAAAAACCATTGAAAAAAGATTCAATCTAGTTTCTCCGGCTATTTGAACCAAATAAAACAGTCTGGTGATGAAAAATAACTACGTTTAATTTTTTTGGAAAGAATTGGTTATCATACAATTTCCATATATTATAAATCATAAAATTACCAGTTCGGCCGCAAATCTGGAGTGTAATTGAAGCGCTCTTTTGGGAATTTGTTTTTGATAATCAACAAGCAAGCGAAAACTAATTGCGCGTGCCAAATTATACTACAATCCTAATTACTCCAAAATGAGTTGAGGCAACCTAATTATAATAATGTTATCTCTCAATTTTTACTAAGTTCTATGTTAATTTTCATACTGCTGGTATTAATAATACTACGAATACCATTTTTGAGCAAGACATTGTTGCAACGAGAAATCGGTTATGCGTGGCTGAAGTACAGAAATTTCCTCATTCGTCATCGCAATGACGTCTACAGAATGAAGTCTCTCACAAATGACATCATACCCGGTTTCCTGCAGTTGTATGTCCAAGAAAAGGAGTGCTTTGAAGAGAAGATTCTGAACAATTTCCAGCGAAGCATCTTAAAACAACATTTTTGCGCCTTCGGGAATAAAAGGGGCAAAACCACATAACAAGAAGCAGGTATGAAAAAGATAACAATCCAAAGTTCCTATCTCTTTTCCGTGGCGAAAAAAATTGCAGAGCTCCTAAAACGAAGTCTGTTCTGCCGGCGGATCACCACAGACTTTCTTATGTTTTTTTTTTTCATTTCAGTCCACAAAAAACACGCCGCTCAGACCTGTACGATCGCCGCCAGGTAGTATTTACTACAACTAAAACTTGGACTATCACAATTGCTCGAAGACGTCGAAGGAGCCAACATTTTGACTTCCACGGTAGACATGTGAAATTTCCTTGTATGCCGCCGAGATGGAACCTGACGAGCTGGTATTATCTACAAGATGGAGGAAAATCTCTACGCGATTGAGCCAGCACTGGTTGAAACCATCGATCTTGCAGCGAACAAGTTGTATGCTGCTGATACACAGCCGCCTTTGGATAAAGACACTTGTATTCGTCTTCCGAGTTTTGCAGTTAGCAAAGTTCATTTCATGGCACGTGGTCAGTGCTATAAGCAGTGCGACAGAGTGGCTATGGGATCCACATTGGAGGTTACTCGTCATCTTGTGGTTGAGTCAGTACGAAGAAGCATTTAACGATACAACTGTTTGCTTGCGCTGTCACGTCATGGTCAGAAAATGACCACTCCATCCGATCTGACCTGTGTAGTGACTGGTGCCATCGCAAATGCACCAATCTGAGTGTGGATAACATTGCGCTGTATAGCCACAAAAAAACTCCAGGGTATTCTGGTTGCCATTCCAGCAGTTCTGAATTACAGTTCAAAATTCCCAAAGGCCAAAGTGTTCGGCAGGTATGCTGATGACATATTCCGGTTTTTCAGGGCTGGAGTTATTGAAAACATGAAACACCTGTACCGTGCCTCATTTTAACTTCAGAGATCTACTTTTCTCGGCATGATGGTGAAGCGCAAAAGTGGCAGACTCATAACGGCTTGGTACCGAAAGCCCACCGACATAGGTCTCATGTTGTCTTGCCTTGCTTGTTCGCCGAAGCTGTACAAGCGGAACAAATAAATGGTACCTTTCTTGTGATAAAACGTCCAGCTTTTATAGTTTTCAGAATGCACTGGTTTCAGCGAAGCTCAATTATGTGAAGAATCGTTACCCACAACCCTTTTTTGATCTCATAATCGAGATTGAAACCTGTGAAGTGTTTGCGCCTAGAGAAGACCAGGCTAGAAAAGCTAAACTGAGAGAAATCAATGAGCGCCCAACGTTGTTAACTGAATATAGATAGAACATTTCTAGTCGTTTCGCCAGAACTATCAAGAAGACGACAGGAGTTTGAGTTATTTCCACACGTAAACTCAAAACGTTGGTACTTTTATTTTTTTTTAAAAAAGGGGATAATTTAAAGAACCTTTTCAGTGATGAAATTACCTGTCCTGGATGTCAATCCAGCTATGTTGGCGACATTGTCAGGCGACATGACATTTGAAGACTCGACTCGCTGAACATAAGCGTATGAGCTTCTTTAGAAAGTCACTTTGAGAACTTTGGGAAGTCCAGAAAAGTATTGAAAACGCCTCAAAAGTTTTTGCTAAATTTTTGGATTACAATCAAGATCCAGGTCAGTTTTTGACGCTGGATGCCCTGTGAATCGCCATGAAACAGTCGGAGCTGAACCAACGCGAAGAATAAGGATAGAGGCAGCTCACCCGTCAAGTGTTGACCGAGATTTTTCTCGCTGTTCCGTTTTTTTTTCATATAAAATGTTTTTGTTTGTGTTTAATAAATTGGTTTGCAATGATGACCACCATTTCCAAAGATATTAATTCTTCATAAGACGTTAAGCTTAATATTAACTAATCAACCTTGACTGTTGCGAAGAAAAACAAGCAGGATCTAAAAAACAATTCCCTCCCACTTATGATGTCTACTATGGAATTACCACGCCTATAATTGAAGCCGTAATTTAGCACAAGAAAATTCTGTTCATAATTCGATTCTTGCTACATTATTGTTGGTAGAACATTTGACTGATTTAAAGTACTTAACAATTAGCTTCCTCGAA